AAATATATATATATATATATATATATATATATATATATATATATATTTTCCATACATTTACTTTTTCATATTTTGACACTTTTTGATAAAAATTCAGATTTCGACAATCTAGGGAATCGACCAAAAGAGATATGTTGGATATTGAAATCTGTCAAAAAGTCCCAATTTTTTTGAAGTGTGTGATTGAGCAAAGAGTACTTTTGTGAAACTTTATAAATTGACGCAGCATGAATGACTTAAACTAAAAATAAGCTCCCTTATATACAATTTATAATGAAGCACAAAGATCCCTTCATAACAACGTCAACTCTGATAGAAATCGATATTGAATTTATGAAAACTTCCGAATAGAACGGACTAGAAAACATGTAATATATTTTTAGATGGGGCATGCACGATCGAGAGTACAAGCATTTTCAATAAATTTGACTTAATTAATCTTTCGTCAGAGCACACAATGCAGCATATAAGTAGTACTATATAATATTTTCAGATTATTTAAAAATTTCTCTAGTCTATACATAACTTTGTTAGTGCTTAAGAATTTTAATTATATCCATTTTATATTATATATTTTTTATTTTGATCTAGTGTGATTAAGATTACTAGATTAGTGACTAAAAGATATTGTGTAGATTGTAAATAGGAATAGGATTCTTTTTACAGTGTTTTGTCTATCAAATAATGTTGTCTTTTTGATGTTATTCCCTTCACTTTTCACTTTATTTATTCTACTTTTCACAAATCAAATCATAGATTTAATATTTTTATAATGATGAGACTTTAAGCTAAGAAATGTTTTTGCACCACTAAAAAGAAAAAAAGAATTGAAAAAGGGAGAGCTAAATGGAATATTTGAGATTTGGAAAAATCTTTTTGAATTCTAGCATTACTACTTGAATGTACTTAGAAGTCTTGCATTCTTTTTTCTAATTAAGAGCTGACAAAGGTTCCTTTTTCATGGCTACTTCTTACTTGAGGGATTCAACAATAGTCAGTACTTTCTCCATTTCAAAATACTTGTTAATTATTGTATTTTATTTCTCGAGAGTTAAGGTTCATGATCTTCGATTAACATTCTCTTTGCCAACAATTTTATGTGATGTTGTTTGACTTTAAAAAAATAGAAAAACTTTTGAAACTATGGTGGCCTTTAAAATTTAGAAACGTTAGATATATTTCATGTTACATGGGGACAAATATACTATATACGAGTTCAATAAAATTAAATAATTTTAATTTAAACTTTGATACATAGATCATCGTCATCCGGTGTTGCAACTAGTTGATGACATGCATGCACAATTTTTTTTGTTTCCATCCGATGTTCGATATTTGTATTGAAGCTCAATTATGGAAAGTCTCACATTAAGGATAAAACATCTGATCTTCGATATCCGTACTAGAGCTTAACTATGAGGAGTCTCACATTAAGAATAAAACGCTTCCTAATAAAAAAAACTTCATATTCAAAAACACTCAAACCTGAAATATCTGATTAAAATAAACTTTATATTTAGCACTCCACTACTACCGCTATTAATTATGTGATGACATCAAACCCGGAAAAGCTGAGAAGAGGTTACATATGTGAGCAAAGTGCAATTAAGGTATCTAGCTAAGCTAGCCTTCTCGATTTGGAAAGGTCATTCCTACCAAATCAACTCACTCGACTCTTGTCGAATAGACACATTTCTATATTTAGTAAATTTAATCAATTTAAAAAAAAAGTGTTTCTATAATAGACAATTGTTCTAAAGATGATTTTTAGTCACACAAACATTTATGATATTTTAAATTCGATACAAGTCAAATCAAATAAATTGAAACAGAAGGAGTACTGTTTTACTATATAAAAATTTTGATTTATTTATTTTTACTTATCATTTTGTGAATTCAAACTATAAGATATTGAAATAAGAAAAATTGCAGCTTACTGTACTTTTTACAAAGTTTTTGAATATATAAATTTTAATTTTAAAATATTGAGTTGATCTAACTTAATTAATCAATTTGATAATTAGTCAAGTTATTTACTCTTGAAAAATGAAAAATGTCATGTAATAAACTGAGATGGAGGGAATGAGACAATATTCTTAAAAAAGACAAAATCTTGCATACATCCATATAGTATATTTGATATTGTTTTGTAAAAATTAAATTTCTATGCTTGATAACCTAACATGACATGCGACTATCGCGACAAAAATGTGTATTATTTATGTACGTATACATACATATAAGTAAATCATCTTCAATTTCCTTGTACAATGCAAATTTCTATGTACGTCACTGATTATCTGTTCTATTATCGATAAAAAATTAATCACAATCTATGCTTAAGAAGTTTATAAGAAAAGTAATTTAACAACCAATTTTTCCAATTTCAATTTGTTTCAGTATTGGCTAAAGCCCTTACTTTACAAGAAATGTCATACAAATTTACATGACATGATGGATTCTCCCATTGTACAAGGTCTTTAATTACCTTCTCAATTTCTTTAGTTTCCTTCACAAGACTTTCCATGCAAAAACCCAAAGCACTCAAACTTAAAACCAATTGGCCTTTGAGTTTTTCATCACTATTTTTATTATCACCAACATTGACTATATAATCCCCAAGTTCATTTGAATGTTGAAGATAAGAAGTCAAAATTCCATCTTCACTTGATGATGAGGACCTTATATTATATGATGATGATGATTTTTTTCCCAATTCAAGATCCATTGAATTTTTCTTTTTCTCGAATTCCTTGTCAAGTATCGCGAGTGATTTTACCAAACTAACCTCCTCAAAACATTTAGTGGATGTACTTATTAAATCCTTAAAAAGCATTAGGTCAGCATCTAAGTTATTCCAGTCGATTGAACTTGTTGAATGTTGTTGGAGGAATCTTAGTGCTTGTGACCCAAAAAGTAAGTACTCCATCATCTTTGACAAGGACCCCAGGACCTTACCATAACAACCACTATTAAAAGGTAAAAACCAAAAATTGGGCTCTGCCTCAGCTTCCGCTATGAATTTTCCCAATTCATTTACATGGAGTTTCAGATTCTTTTGAATTTCCTCGGAGTTGTTTTTGTTAGAGGACGATAAGGTTATTGAATCGATGCATTCGTGCAAGATTTTGAAAGTGTTGGAGAGCTGGATTTTAGCTAATGTTGAAGCTCTCGTTGGATGGAACAAAATTTCAACCATGATGGAACATGATAATCCAATGAATGTTTCTGTGATTCTTGCTATGGCAAATTCACTTGGAGGACCAAATCCTTTTCTACCTAGAATTAGTACTGCCCCAATAACTGCTGAAATCCCACCTGATCACACAAAGCGAAATAAAGAACATCAGAGACAAATTCAAGATTTAAACTTAATTGATAGGGTTGTTACGTTATTTTACTTTCAAGATGTGTAAATAAGTTTTTTTACACTATCAAGTTCTATAAAAGATATTAACAGGTAAATCTTCTTAAAATGTGGAGCAATATTTATAATCTTGAGAACAAGACAAATTATCTTCTAGCTACAACACATAAAAGTGATATAATAATGTAAAATTTATTTATACTGACGATATATATAATGTATAATCTACCCAATTATTTGGTTTAAAATATTTCGAATTGGACTTTAACTCTTTATAGAGGACTACTTTTACTGGACATGTCACTATTTATGTATTTTAATAACTTAGTAGTCTCTCCTTTTTAGTACATCCAAAAAAAGAAAGGACATCTAATAATTCAATTTTATACTTTTTGAATTTTTTCTTATATTTCGTGTCTAGTAAAATATCTTCACATAAATTGGGACGAGTAAAAGAAAGAATTTTCACCTGCTTGGCCGTACATCCGGCTACGGCTCAAGAAGCTGCTGACAATGAACCAAGGAAGCAAAGACAAGAACCTTATTTGCACAAATTTTTCAAAGAGAAAACATCCTAAGACACCATAAACTGTTCCCAATACTGTCCCTTGTGCTTTGACATTAGCAACTTTAAATGTTGCTTCTCTTGTTGCTGCAAGGCTTATTGCAACAGGCAACCCTGCCCAAAATCCATTTTCCTTGCTATAAATTGATCCAAAAAATATAGCAAGGCCTAAAGAAAGTGAACATTTAAAAGATGTCATAAATCTTCTACTATTTATAGTAATTGCCAAATTGTTCCATGTCTTTTTAATAAATCCTTCTTGATGTTCATCAACTTGTTTGTTGGAACCAATGGATTCAATTTCAATGTCAACTCCTTTTTTGGATGATAAAGGGAAACTTGGTTTGTGTAACAACAATTTTAGGCAAAAAAGGAAAAATAAAGAGGGGAGGTCTTTTTTTGTTGGTTGAATGGTTTGAAGTGTTTGGAGGAACTTTTCTGCATCATATGCATTTGACTCTGGGACAGTTGCTGACGACTCGTCTAGAGACATGTTCTTGATTTGCTTTGAGATGTGATCTCCTAGTTTTTCTAGACCATCTTTTAGCTCTATGTTGAGAATACTAATTGGGAATATTGAAGGGGAATTTTCCAATGCAATTTCCATCCCTCTTAAAGGTGTTTGGATTTCTTGAAATTTGTCCCCTGGATTCTCTCCATATGGTCTTAGAAACTTGAAAGGCAATCTTTCCCACTTCATGCTTTCCTGTTACCAATTCAAGTAAAAAAAGAAGAAGTTATAATCACTTTCCACTATAATAAGTTACGTGACATACTTTAATTCTAAGTCCGTCACAAAAAGTATAAATGACATTTTATTCTAAATGAAATGATTAATAGTCGATACACATATTTAAAATGTAATTTAGACTAGAAGTTTGAAAAGTTTTTCTGTAATCAAATAGTGAAATAAATAAATTGAAATGATTACCTGCTTGGATTTAATGGCTTGGAGAAGTTTGGGTCCATTGTTAACTAAGGACTTGGCTTGAGAAATTAAAGCAAGTGCTGAAGTGTTGTCTTCAGCTGAAAAAGCCTTCACAAACAAGTTAATCCTCTCGGTAGCATTTTCCACGAAGAGCTTGCTTTTCTCTTTTACCTATATTAAACGTTAATCAATAACATATTTAGTATAATTTTATAAGTAAGACCTGAGAAGGGTGTTGCATACACAAGATAGAGACATTGTTTCTGATAACAAGTATTATTGAATTTTGGAAGACAAAATATTTAGTGCATCTAATGTTTGAAAATGAAACGAGTGTAATAATGAATTTGACACCAACTTTTTTTATGACATTCATATAGTCAAAATACTAGTAATCATGTAAAAAAAAAAATTAGTGCTACTTATCAATTAATTAATTCTTACCTCACAACAAGCAAGGTTAGGATAAGGAAGCAACAATGCTAAAACACAAGCCACAACTCCAACGGCGGTGCTAGCCGCGACCCGAACCGGGTGCATAACGGGTTCGGTTTTCGCACCGTTAATATAAGCTATGACATACACAATCACAAGTTGCCCTAGCGCTATACGCTTCGCTATCAAGTGAGTTTTTTCGGGCAGGACCACCACGAACGCGCTCAGCGCCACAGCTGTAGAAGTCGTGCTGGCCGTGAGTCGGCCCGGCCCGATCAACCATAGGCTTAGTATAGCGGGACAAACGCCTTGAATCGTTGCATATAGCGCGAGCCAACAACTACGTAAAGTGTCACCTAATGTGGCATTAGTCACGATTAGAATAACGGTAACGTAGGAAAAAGCGGGAAATGCGACTTGAGTCTTGAAACTTTCGGGGCCGAAAAGGGTGGCTACACCAACTATCGAACAAGCCAAGGCGGTTCGAAAGGCGGAAGCTAGGCAAGTCCGCCACACAACTCTAGCTCTAATGGATTCAAAGCTAGAAGTTGTTGCCATTTTTATTATTTTTGGAGAGAAGATGAATGACGTTTATTTATAACCTTGTCTATTTTATTTTTGTGTCACGTACTACGAATAAGTGGAAAAATTGAGTTTTTATAGAGATGATTTTGTGGGACAGCACGTGAAGATTAGTGGGATCCTTGTGGGGCTAGGGCACTAAGGTGTGGATGCCTACGCAAGCCAAAAACTTCTTATATTATTAGAAAAATTAAAATAAAGGGTGAGTTTATTAAATTAGTATATATGGATGAGTATGAGAAGATTTTATATAATTGTTATTATATATCCTTTAGTCTTGTGCTTTATGTGATATGATTCGAAATATGAGGGACAAATTATTTAGTTTTTTTTTTAAATGTGAATTTAGATATAAATTTTTAGTTTTTGATGTTACTTTATTGTTTGTTTAAAGAGTATCGATCCCATATGTCCTTTGCAGATTTACAAGACGATATTTAATTTTTTCATATAGTGTTCTCCATTGAAATATAATGTTCTTTCTTGTATTTCAGAAGGTGCAATTATCTTCAATCTTTCAAGGGTGCTAATTTTTATTCAAGTATCAAACTTTGATACTAATTATCTCCATGATTTAATTGGCTGAAGGCCTATGTATTTGGTTTTTTGAAGAGCTATGCAAGAAAGTAAATTTTAGAATATATATCAAAACACAAGAATTTTACGTAAAAAACTCTTTATATAAAAGTAATTTCATTTAAAATTTTATGATTAACTTTCGTACCATGGTTCCTTGTAGAATTGAATTCTCCCATTTTGCAATTGATCTCTAAAAAATCTTAGTGCATATTAATACGCCCAAGATACTCCTCACTTTTAATATAATGCAATCGTATACATTCGTATGCAATAATAATCCTACCAGTATATATAAACATAACATTCAGGTTAATACGTCTAGCAATTTTTAATTTTTGAATTGAATCGTTTTTTTCTACTCCCTTAAATTTTGAACCTTATTCCTCATGTATGATTAATTTTATTTTTATTTACCGTTTGTTCACATTTTTGGTGGGAATAAAACAAAATAATACTATTTCCATGCCTAAACGTTTTGTTTTTTCGTACATCCATGAGGTACTTTCATGTGATTGAAATTAACTATAGCTTATATCGTGCCTAAAGGATTACAAGAATATCCACTAAAAATAGTTGCAAGCACTAGCTAGTGCTGATTGGTATGCTAAATTAAAATTATGATATTATATATAAAAGCTTTTGCTATATATACTATAGTTTTGCCTTCCAAATTATTTCTTTGTTGATTTTTTTTTTTTTGATTTTCATTTAATGTTCGATACTCATATTGGTGGCAAATTAATTTGGATTCGTGCCATGTAGGCCCCATTCGGTGGTTTTCTTTATTGAATTTAGTTAATCTGTTCATAAAATGAATGGCCTAGTCAATTTTTGTTGCATATTTTACTTGTTTATGAAATCAAATATTTGATATTATATATGATTCTAATCGAGTGAAATTATTTTCGTGCATAACTATTACAGTTGGGGGTGTCAAAGCAATTCTAAAAATATTTGAATAAATTTCTATGCATAAAATATTTATTGTGTGCTAATTGCTAAATATAAAATAGAAACATTAAAAAATTAAAATTGAATTTTAGGGTGAATTCTGACGGAAACAACTATAAAATACCAAATCTTCCATAATTATCGAACTACAGGTGTAACTTTTTTTTTTTAAAGAATAGTTTCACTGATATAATTTTGCAAAAAGAGTAAATTACCAAATAATATTTGACAGTAAAATGCTCAAATTATAAAGCTTTACTTTGAGTTTAATTAATGGAATGCTCATATAAAATTTAGACACTTTTTAGAGTTATACTCTTTAATTTCACGTATATTTTAGCTGGTCCGATATTTGTTATTTTTATGTCAGATAAATTGTCATGCATTTTCTTTAGTGGTTGACTTCAAGGGTGTTTTGGATTGAATTTCTAAAAATAATTTACAAGTTAAAAACGAAAATTCATAAGTTGAAAGATTTTATCTTTTACTTTATTTTTATACTTTTTAGCTTAAAAATAAGCATGTAAAATCACTTTTATCTTTTTAAAAAACCATAAAAAGGAAAAAAGAAAACTGAAAAACTAAAATCACTTAAAATAAATCAATCCAGACACCTCTCCATCAATTCTTCCTAAGCTTCTCATTATATCACAAGCATTTTATTTTAGAACCATATCCCAAGTGTTCATGACGATTGCATATAGTTTTTTGCATTATATTAAAGTGTGTTCTTATTTTTATTTTTTTTTAAAATATAAAACATCAAATATTCTAATAATAGTGTGACTCTTAGATGACTTTCTAAAAGATAACTGAAAGATTATCGAACCATATTAATATTAAAGAGTAATTGAGATAATAACCCAAACGGTTTTAATAATGTTTAAAGCTGAATAATTATGCACATGGAATTATCGAACAAATTGATCATATGGTATAATCTCTCTCTCTTTATATATATAATAAAGCTGAATATGAAAACGATAACGTGAATACAAAAAAGTTTACCTAAATATATCTAATTTTAAAATACAAAAAAGCTTTACCTAAATATTTAAAGAACATTAAAACAATCATCTTTAATTCTTTCTTCATCAATAGCCATTTTTATCTAATTTTAAAAGACAAAATAGTTTACCTAAATATTTAAAGAACATTAAAACAGTCATCTTTAATTCTTTCTTCATCAATATCTATTTTTATTTAATTTTAAAATATAAAAAAGTATACCTAAATATTTAAAGAACATTAAAAGAATCTATACCCAAATAATTACAGAACATTAAGACAATCATCTTTAATTCTTCCTTCATCAATAGCCGGAAAAAGATCCAATCAAGTGATATTCCCTCAAGTAATATTTGATCTCTTAGATTAATGCCACGTGGAACATAAAAATAATTTATGGTTGAGATTCTTTTCAAATCTTACACTTAACAGAAGAGTCAAAAATGATAAAAGTAAAACTAACGATATCAATTAAAATTATTTAGATTTTTTTCTTCCTTTTAAGTGCAGAAGCAAAATGCACTAGATGCTTTTCAAAAACACTACTCAGTTTTATTTTTCTAATTCAACTCTCAAAATATGATATAATTTGTCAATTAAAGTGAATGAACATGAAAATAACAATTTATCTATCGTGCACAAGATTAAAAAATATAGGCATGCTCGAAAGCATATTGTTAACGTGACAGATTTAGGTCATATTTCTTATACTTATATGAAGTTTGTAGAATTAGATAGATAAATTCCTTATGATTAGGTTTATCTCAATTAGATGATTTTTTTAAAATAATTATTTAATTGTTAAATTTAAATTTATTTACATTTTGCTCTACAAACCTTTTCAAGAGTCAAAGATTACAAATATTTTAATGGATATCGTTAGCTTCACTTTTATCATTTTTTCTGTTAAAGTATAAAATTTGAAATGAATTTCAATCCTAAATTATTTTATGATTCATATGACATTAATCTAAGAGGTCATTGAACATTACTTGAGGGAATAGTACTTGATCGATCTTTATATTTGAATTATTTTATCTTTAATGCTATTATTTTCTTTTCCTATAATATTTCTCAATTTCTTCTTTTACTTCTTCTCTAAATCTCTTCGTTAATTACATTAATATCATTTATTTTCCTTTCTTTGTTCTTTTTACTGCAAATGCATTATTTTCTTGAAATACAATCAATGTAATGTCAATAAAAAATATTATTTTTGTATTTTAATAAATATAATAAAATTGGAATTTACATTCTATATTTCATCTTAATTTATAAAAATATTATAAAGTCAGTTGATTTTTTTAAGACCGTGCAAAGCACAAACAAATTTACTATTTTTTAAAATAATCGATCAAAATGTACCATTGACCTGATACCCCTAGTTACAGTAAATCAACTTGAGATTGAAAAATATTAGAATGGTGATATTTTTACTAAAGAAAAAAAAATCAATTTCTAGAACATTCTACTATTCTACCTTGGTCTCATTTATGCTGAGGGTCCGCTAATTAATATAGGTGTTAACATTAATCACTAATTAATTATTTTACTAACCACATAATCTAGTATGAATAAACAAATATTAACAGATCTTATCAAGTTCGAGTGCAATCTTATAATAAGATACTCCCTCTGTCCCTAATTACTTGTCCACTTTTTCTTTTATAGTTGTCCCTAATTACTTGTCCATTTTAACAAATCAAGAAATGACAAATTCTTTTTACCTATTATACCCTCAATTAAATGACTAATTATTTTGAAAAATATAGAACTTTTCATTCACTTCATAATTAATAGGGGTAAAATGGTAAATTCACTATGTCATTAATTATTTTCTTAATAGGTGTGCCAATTCAAAAGTGGACAAGTAATTAGGGACAGAGGGAGTATCACGTAGATTCCTTAATAGTGTCTTAATCTGCACTTAGTTACAGCTTAATTTAATGATTATCCTTTTGGCAAAATGCCAAACATGAAATAGTTTGGCCATTACAATATTGCTCTAATTTTTGGGAGGAAATAATTCAACATAATTAATATATATTTAAAGTTTTGAGCAGAAGAAAATGATTCCACAAATATTTCATGTGCTTTATTTTCATATCTCCTACTATGCAAAAATACATATTTCTCAAAAAATTTAAATACTTTTTAGTAATGAACCACAAAACAAATGACCTCTTGATATGGGATTAAGTGTTTGAGAATATAATTATATAATAAAAGTGTACTTTTGTTAACAGTTTAAGCTTTGAGATGAGATGGTTACACTCACACACTTCAACATGGTATCATAGCAGATAGAGGCGTTCTGAAATCGAGTCTCACCGTCATCCTTATCAAAAAAGAATTTCAACATGCTTGACCCGTGAAAAAAAATTCAATTCAACACGTGAGAGTACATGTTGAGGATATAATTACATAATACAAGTGTGCATTCTCTAACAGCCGCACACCTTAATCCTTACTCTACCTTTGAGATAAAAAAACTATTTCT